CTTTCCAGAAGTGTTAATAGGATGACACTAGATAGGAGAGAGGCTGCTGCGTACCTTTGGGAGCCTCTACAGATTGTATCTGTTTATTCATTTCATTCAAATTCATCAGTATATTCATTGAGAACTGTTCCAGGCTCCGGGGAGGCAGCGGAGAACAAGATGGGGTCTGCCCCTGCTGTCCCGGGGTGCACGTTCCACTGTGGGAGAGACAGTGAACACACAAATAAGTGAGGTCCTTTCAGATGATGAGCAGTGATAGGAAGAAAATAACATAGGAGGAAGTGAAAGAGTTTTCTGCAAGTGGTCGGGGAAGGCTTCTCTAAGGAGGTGATACTGAAGCTGAGACCTGACAGAGCAGGTGTGCAGAGCCCTGGGGTTCATGTTAACTGAACAGGTCAGACTTCCCTTTGGAGGACAGGAGAAAGCAAAGCACAGTCAACTTATTCATTAAGATCCATCCTTTGGGGGAGGTCTGAGAGAACTGGAAGGGCCCTTGGCCAACATGTAGAGGGAGAGCCACCGGGGCCAGGCAGGGGCGGCCCAACAGAGGAGCAGGCCCAACAGAGGAGCAGGCCTGGGGCAAGCGCTGAGACCTGGGGGGGCTGAAGAAAGCCCTGGTGACCCTGACAGCTTGCAAGGGCAGGCCCAGCTCCAGCAGGTGGACCGCACTGGGATTTAGGCCCTTGGCTGCTCAATTGTTGGGGTTATTTTTGGTGTTATTATTTTTTGATGTTTTTAGTTTGTTCCAAGAACCAGAGATCTGAATTTTATGTAACATGTCACACTCTTTAAATCTGGCCACTTATTCAAATATTTTCAGAACCCTGTGGAGGCCTGCCAGGCCCATCTGCTCCCTGGGATGGCTGGTAGAGGCTGGTGTGCAAGCTCTAGTCCAGCCCCTTCCTTCCAGCGTTGAAGAGTCACGATATTTATCGTTTTCCTAGATTGTAAATAGCAGTTACCCAGATGCATTCTTGAAAGGCAGCGTGAAGCCAGTCGGGAATTTTTCACAGTTCAAGCTAAAATATCTAAGTGTGTGGTGTCATGAGTGCTAAAATTATCACTATTTCTTTAAAGTGTTCTTTACTCCAGCAGTATTAAAAAACAGGAAGGTGGTGAACTATACCAATGATGAAAATTCCTGTATAAAAACTAGCCTGTACATACTCATTTTAACTGTGAAAAATAAAAAATATATGTTCAAAAAGATTAGAAAAATTTAAGGAGATGTAAATTGAGTTTATTATTTACTGGGCTGTTGTAAAATTGCATTAGCACAGTGCCTGGTTTGCTAGCTTTTTATTAAAGTCTAATATACATGCTGAGAAGTGCTCATATCAGAAGTATAAAGCTCCAGGCATGTTCACGGACTGTGTAGACTCCTGTAATCGGCACTCACTTCAAGACCCAGCGGCGTCCTGGCAGCCTTCCTCCCCCACTCCCCACCCATTTTCCTGTTGGGTTTATCTGCCTTTATCTTAGTGTTTATAGTTTATTTTGACTATGAGTCCATTGTTGATTATGTCTATTGGAGAGATGCACTGTGTGCCTTGGCTTTCATTTTTTTTAATTAATTAATTTGTTTGTTTATTTTTTATTTATTCATGGCTGTGTTGGGTCTTTATTGCTGCGCACAGGCTTTCTCTAGTTGCAGCAAGCGGGGGCTACTATTCGTTGGCGGTGAGCAGGCTTCTCATTGCAGTGGCTTCTCTTGTTGCGGAGCACGGGCTCTAGGCGTGCAGGCTTCAGTAGTTGTGGCATGTGGGCTCAGTAGTTGTGGCTCGTGGGCTCTAGAGCGCAGGCTCAGGAGTTGTGGCACATGGGCTTAGTTGCTCCGCGGCATGTGGGATCTTCCCAGACCAGGGCTCGAACCCGTGTCCCCTGCATTGGCAGGCGGATTCTTAACCACCGCGCCACCAGGAAAGTCCATCAACTATCATTTTGGAATCAACTCCTTTAGTAAATTGGAGCTTTTAATCTTAATGTAATCCGATTTATCCTTATTTTCCCTTATGGTTAGCATTTTGGGGCTCCTGTTTAAGAAATCCTTGCCTATTCTCAGGTCACGAAGGTGTTCTCCTCTGCATTCTTCTAAAAATATTTCAGAGTTGGCTCTGTAGTACCAGCTGTGTTTTCAGTATCCATTTATTGAGAAATAAGGAATGACAAGAAGAGTCAGTGGAGCTTTTAAATAAATTTGCATTGTATTCACAGCAGTGCATATAGGCGTTTGGAAGTGCTTGTAGGACATACTGGAGGATGCTTCCTAGCCATGCGGGCACCGTGCTGTGTTCTGCCCTCTCCCTCCCCAACCCCTGATTTGCAGGCTGCTGGATGTGCCAGAGGCTTCAGGCTGGGCACCCGATGACCTGAGAGTTGGCAGATTCCCTCTCAGCCTCATTAATGCCAAAGATGCAGGTGTCAGTTCGTTCCATGTTTTCAAAATACCTCAGTGCCAGGTGCTCTGCTAAATAGATACTGGAAACATAAAGCTGGAGACCTCTTCCCGTGAAGAGCTTTGGGCCTGATTAGAGGGAGATAATGGAGATAGTTGCGTAAACAAATGTGTAGTAACGTGCTTCTGGCTCCTGACTTGATTTTAGCATCTGAGATATTGGACAGAGTTAGGAAGTGGGAGGGTTTCAGGAAAGCCTTTGTACAGGAAGCAGCCCTTGAGTTATCAGTGAGGTGGGTGGATGGGTGACTTAAGGTTTCTCTCGAAATTATGATTCACAGAGCAGTAAAGTGAAACCTGTTCATTCTCATGCATTGTTGGTAGGAGAATAAAAGTGGCACAGCCTCTTCAGAGAGCAATTTGGCAGCATCTGTCAAAATTGAAATTGCACGTCCTTCTTGCATTTGTGCTAGATAGACACTGGGAATACAGTGTCGGTGTCAGATAAATGCCCAGGAGTAGAATCGTGTGACCCGGCTCTTCCACACCTGTTAATTTATCCCACACATGCACTCATGGGTTTACAAACACAGTCTTTGCATTGTTTTTAATAACATCAAAATATTGGAAACAGACTTAAATGTCTATCAATAGGGGATAAAGAACGGTACATCCATACAATGCGGTATCACAGAGCTATTTAAAAGAACGCTCTGGTGGAACAATCCCCAGGATATATTACGTGAAACAGTATTTGCTCCTGCCCTGGTTTTAAGAGCGTGTGTGTACTGTGCATGTCTGCACACACCTGTCTCTGGAAGGTGGCCTCTGCCACAAGACAGAGGGACAGGCACATTCTGATGCAGTTTTTTTAACATGTAATTTTTTTAGTTAAAAAAAATTTGTACTAAATGCCATGTGATACCCTTCTTTGGACCCTGGAACAGAAACAGGACATTAGTGGGAAAACTGAAGGCATCTGACAAAAGTCTGGGGTCGTGATGCTCCAGTGTCGAGTTCTTCACTTTGCCAAATCCCATGGTAATACTATAAGATACCAGGATCATGGGGGACCGGGTGAGGGGGATACAGCAGTGCTCTGTATCATCTTTGCAGCTTTTCTGTAAATCTAAAAAGTCTTCCAAAATCAGAAGTTTTTTCAACTTTTTTAATTTTAATGAAACCTGTCAAATTGCATCTGCAAAATGGTTGTGTCTGAGAATGAACAGATTGAGAATGTGAAAGCTCATTCCCTTCCCTCCTGTCCTCTTGGTTCAGGTCGAAGAATTCCATCCACTGACGCCAACCCGCCTTCCGGTGGAAAGGGCTTCAAACTCCGAAGACAGCCTTCGGAGCCGAAACGGAGCTGCTGCTGACTGAGCCTCGGCCTCCAGGCTCAATGGTGAAGTAGGTGGTCCTGAAAGTTAGCGGGAGGGGCTGGAGCCCTGTCGCCAGGGGCGCCTCGCCGGTCCTGTATCTTCTGCTGGCAACAAGGATTCACAGGAATTGACCGGTTCTGTTTCCTCTTTGGAGACTGCAGCAATAATATTTCAGTCTGCGGACTTCTCTTCTGTAAAGCGTCTCTGGTGTACAAAGGGACTACATCATAGGCTGTTGACCTTGCTGAGAAGGAGTGTATAATTGTATGGATGGTAGGATTAAATTGTTGAGTAGTTTTGTAATCAAGATTTTATGTAACATTTGTAAAGGGAAAATTAGCACTTTTGTGGTTCTTAAGGGAAGAAAAAGCCCTTGTGGAGATTATCGTTTCCTTGGTTTCCCATTGATACCAATGATACCATTTGGTACCAATGATACCATTTCCTTGGTGTCATTTAGAATGTGGTCAGTTATCATAAATGGAGGGATGGCAGTTATTATTATTTGAAGCCAAAATGGGTTATTTATAAGGGCTGATGGAGATGGTTTCACCCCTGCCGTCTCTAAAGCACTTTCCATTGGGTACATCAGCCCAGGACATGCACAGTAAACTCACAGCAGCAGGTGCATGCCTCACCCTGGTTTTGCATCCTGACCCTGTCACGTGCGTGTCACCAGGCACATTATTGGCACCTTTTTAAGGAAGCTGTCACGATCAAGGTGGTGGTGGTAGAGAAGCTGCCTGGAATAAATTGAACTGCAGATGATTAAACTGACTAGCAGCGGTTTACAAAGAGAAGAAGAGAGAAAGTAAAGAAAGTGGTGTAAATGCTGTCAATTTTTTATTTAACCGAGATATTTTGGTGGGGGAGACAATGATCTGTTGCTTAGCATATGTAAAGTTGTAGTCTATATTTACGAGACCATTGCTTACAGATTATAAATTATGTAAATACATTAACAAATTCTGTGTTTCATTCAACACTCCATTTACTCTTGCACTGTGCCCGCCCATTTCGCAGCCTGTGCACCGGAGGCTCCTTGAAGCACGTGGTGCAAAAGCTTAGAGGGTGTGGCTTGTGATCGGTCAGGATTTCTCTGCCTTCCCTCCCGCCACCCCCGCCCCTCCAGTCCCATCTGGAAATCATTGTGAAGAGGTCTGCCACTTTGACAAGCCTGACTAGCCCGTCCTAGCTTCGGGGCAAAAGGTTAAGGTCCCGAGCTCTCCTCTCGCATTCACCTACCTGGTCTTGGGGGTAAGTTTCTTTTAGCTTTTACAGCAACCTCAGGCCAACTGTTTTGAGAGAGCTTTCCTTGTTAACAATTTAGCCTGTCTTTCCGTTTCCCTCCTTTTCCCCTGCCTCTGTTAGTGGTTAAAGCTCTTTTCCCTCAGCCTACTGAGGTTTTTAATGTGATCTAAAAATAAAGCACTGAAGTGAAGTTGGGGAAAATTTGTTCCTGGTCTAATTTGGCACCCTTCCAACCTGAGTATTGTAAGGGAAGGAAATGTACAAGATTAAATAGGAAATGAAACAGTTTGAATTTCAAACTAAATTGTGCTTTCAGAGCTATCCTTAAACTGAACAGTTGAAACGTTTAAAACTAATGGTTATTTCTTTGTGCCCCCCCACTTGATACCGTTAGATTGTAATGGGAAAATTATAACTCAGATTAAGTAAAAAACGATTCCCTTTCCCCTGGTGTATGTCTTAAGCATTTGGAATTGCTTATTCTCTTATCGAAATCATATAGAAGGAACGCTGGTAGTGAAAATTCTAATGTTTTGTTTAAAATACGTGTGGACTCTGTGCCCCTGCAGCATCTAGCTTCCTTCCCAGCGTGAAATTAGCAAGCTTTCAGAGAGAATGCCTGATTCCAAGGGCTGGGCTCTTTACACCTGAAGGTGGTTTGGCTTTGTTTCATATACTTCCAAATGGATCGGGCCATCAGGCCCCTGCCCTGGTTTGTCCCTAACATTCCCACTGCTGGGCCTCTATCTCCATGACAACAACATAAAACAAAGGTTGCTGGATTCACGAAGAGGCGATGCGTGTGTGGCCCTTTCCCTCTTTTTTCACCAAAAGATGACACAAATCTGTGACCTTCACATGTTTTCAACCAAAGCTGTCAGTCAGCGTGGATGATTTCATGGTGTCTGGGTGCACAGGGAAAGGCAAAGTGCCTCGGTGCCTCTCTTATTGGTAAGGCCTCCGAATGCCTCTCATCCTACTGTGACATTTACTGCACGGAGCCCAGAACGGGTCCATCCTTCAGCCCTCCGCAGCCGCTTTCTCATCCTGATTTCTCGTTCTCCTTCCCATGTGTTCCTCATGCGTTTCAGGGCCTCTCTTGCTCTCATTTTCCTCAGTCTGTCTCAGAAATTGCCATGGCTGTTTCTCATGTGGTGTCTTTTTTAATGCTTAACAATAACAACTACACATTGCTTTCTCAGAATTCATAATTCATACTCGATGAGAACAGGGGAAAAATGTTTTCAGTTATCTTGTTTGCTTCTTAAATGCAAAGATGAATATTAAAGTCAGAAACAGTGTTTTATTTTGAGCCCACTTTGGATTATTCACCTGACTAAATAGTGATCTAGTACACGTTTTATATATTCTTTATTCTTATTTCTTATTATGAGAAAATGCTAGATTGTAAAAGAATTGAGACATAGCCCATCTATAAAAATCTTCTTTTGGTTCTCTTATGACGCAGGGCCATCTTTAAAAACTTTGGGGACTGAAAAGAGAAAAATCATTAATTAGCTGCAAGCGTATATTGATTCCTCTCAGAGAAATGGAAATCAGCTCTTTGCAGGTGTCCAATCTTAGTAACCATTGGGCTTAAGAACTCTCCTTTCACACAAGTGTTTTTCTGATTCTGTGATAACTCATTCACTGTCATTTGGTGATTAAAAGAACATAGAGTATGAGTATGATTAAGTGTCCTTCATTTTAAACTCTCTTTAAGAAGTGATTAGGGAGAATTGCCTATCGCAGGCCCTTCTGCTTCCAAATGAAACCTCCATCACCTGCTTTTCAGCCACAGGCCACGTTCTACACATAGCAAAGGAAAGGTTTGATTCCTTTAGAATAACACACTTCCTGGTCGCCTGGGTGTGATTTTGTTTGAGGTGCCTGCCTCCCGTTGTACACAGGCTTCCTGGATTCCTCCCCATGTCTGAGAGGATTGCCCCTCCTATGTTGGAGGCCCGCCCGACCTCCTCTAAGTGGGCCGGTGTCCTTGAGGTTATCGGGTTTTATTATTTCTAAATATATAAAAAGGGAAAGAAAACCACATTTAATTTCAGAACTTCTCTTTGCGTTTTGTGTTTATTTCTTTTCCATTCTCAAGAAGGAAAATAGGTCTAGGAGACCTTCTAAATTAAACTCTGGGAGATAGAATAATGAAAATATCCTCAGATGACTATTCCATGGCTTTCCTGGAGGCATCAAACCAGCATATCTGTACTGTTATGGCATTGTGTTAAAATGGGCAGATTTAATTCAGACTACACTGCACTAATTGGCATGTCAGCCTCAGAGCTTGAAAAGGCATTTGTTCACTGTTACATGCATCTTTTTATAGGCTGAGAGTAAGTTGCAAAAGAGGTTGTATAAATTCTTATAAGCATTTTTTCACTTGTTTTTTTCAGAACACGCTGAGAAAGTGATTCATGGCCCCTTAGTGTATAAGAAATACACGCACAGTATGTTATGTATATGACAGACGAGACCCCTACACATTCGGATGTCTTTGCAAGAACCTGTATAAGTAATGAGAAAATCCTTTCCTTCTGGGGAAAAGTTATTAGAATCCCCTTAACTCTGATCTATACTAGGTACCTGCTGTAGAACATCTGGGGGAGAAACGACAGCCCACAGACTCAGGCTGGCTCTTCTCTGTCAACTCATTAGGCTGCAAATGTTCCTCCTGTCTCTTTAATGAAAGTTAAACAACAGTGATAAGCTAGAGAGTGGAAACCTGTAAAAATTCTTCATTATTTAAATTTGTTTTAAAGGGACTACAGCAGCATGACTTGTTTGACTACAAGAGGTCGTCTACCTCTTAACAGTTAATATTTTTTAAAAGAAGAAGGGAAATGTACCTTCAAGGGTCAGGCTGTGACTATATACCTGCCCTCAGCTTGGTCCATCAAAAATTTTTAAATGATTCAAGGTAATGTTTAGGAGATGTGTTTTAACTCCTGTGGTACTGTGATTCAAACAAACAAACAAAAAAAAACAGTCCAAGCAACAAATTTATCCAGGAGATAAACATGATACTGTATAGTTTTAGCAAAGGGAGGTGGAGGTGGAATTTAGCCTTGGACTGAAAGAAGTGACCTCTGCCCATTTCTCTTGACAGCAGAGTTCCTTGTCTTGACTTCCAGTAATAGAAATCCAGGCAGTGTGGTTATCCGGTTTTCATGAAATATTAATGGAATTCTGGGGCATTTGTCCTGTTTTATGTGCTAATGAAAGTCTAGAAAAAAATTAGGAGGGTATTAACATTTTTCAGGAGCCTCCACTTTTTCAGTCCAAGAGAATGATAAGTCAGCAACCTGTTATTGATGAAGTTTCATTAGGCAAAATGAAGACGGAGAATAAATAGAACCAAGAATCTCCATCTTTCTCAGTTTGTCCTTCAGGATTCTCCTGGCATGTGAGGAAAATGATTTACTTCCCAAAGCTAGAAGGACTTCCAGTGGCATAGATCAACTTTGATTTTTGGTCTGTACCATCAGAAATAACTAATATCTGTGTTCTTTCCTCTTAGAGTATAATCAGTTCCAGAATTGTTTGTGGCTTTCAAACAAAAGATTCGGAAGTTTAATAAAAAGAGAAATCTTCCATCTTTTCCTTTCATTATCTTGAACATTTTAGATAGATAGTAAAATTAGGATGTGTCATCAGTAGATTCTAGAATTAAAACCATGGAGTCTTAAAAAATTAAACAGAAATTTTTTTAAAAACTCATGGCCAGTTCATTTTCAGATCGGTGTGCATGGTCCTGGCGTCCGGTGCCTCATCAAAATGCTTCATAATTGAAACAAACAAAATTCTGGGTAGCTTTCCACGAACAGGAATTCAAGTGCCAGGAATTCAGCCAGTTAATGGGAAATCCTCAGATAGGAATGATTTTTTGAAAGAGCCTTCTATAATTGGCACTTTTAAAATGTAGACCTTAATCATCTCCTTTGCAATCCTGCAAAAGAAACAAAATGCTCTGGTTTTGATGCAGCTTCTTGATTCAGGAACTTTTTCGTGTTTCCAGAAGCAAATTGTTTAAAGCGGTGCTTCAGAGGAAATCATCTTTAAAACAGCATTTCACACACAGGGCTGACAGTCTTTACTCAGAATTGCAGTTATCCAAGAAACTCCCCGTCTTAAGTCACGGAGAAAAGCCGAGCACCCCTTCTTCGCCTGGGCAAGCCCAGCGCCCAGTGAGCACCAGCTAGAGTGGGACAGGCCGGGGGGCGGGGTGGAGCACGCCCCCTCCCACTTCAGGAATCATCAGCACCCAGCAGCGTGTGACATCAATTGGAGCTTAACCCTTAATTCATCGTTATTAATTTTTTCATGAAATTTATACTTGAATAATCAGTTTCACCCACTGGAAAATGTTGAAAGTGGGGCTTAAATTTGTGTACCTCCGCTGACTCTGCCTATGCGGTTATTACCTAGTTTAGGAAACTTTATTAATGTGGATCATGCACGTGATGTCCAAGCGACTGGTCGATTCAGTGTGGGGAAAATTAGCAGCAGCTGGCTAGTCAGAGCAACTGATCGGTGGCTCTGTTTTTTAAACTATTTGTTGTATTGTGTAGACAGAGCTTTATTGCCCTGGAAAAGATTTTTTTTTTTTTTTTAACTCTCATCCAGCCGCTCAGTCTTTCCATCATCTCACTTTAT